TGTACCATGATGCACTGTGAAGACTATCATCAATAAGTGGAGAAAATGTGGCACCACAGGGACATTACCAAGAGTCACCCTCCGAAGTTGATAACGGGACAAGGAGAAAACTTATCAGGGAGGCTACCAAGAGGCCTACAGCAACATTAAAGGAGCTTTAGGAATCTTTGGCAGGTACTGGTCACTCCTTGCATGTGACAACAATCTCCCGTATTCTTCACATGTCTGGGCTATGGGGTAGGGTGGCAAGACGGAAGCCATTTCTCACAAAAAAGAACATCCAAGCCTGTCTAAATTTGGCGGGGGGGGGGGGGGGGGGAGGGGGAATGTCTTATGGTTGTTACACTGGGCCCGACGAGGTGTTGAAATGGGCTTGGCGAAAATTACTCAATGAGTCAGGAAATGCGGCAAACGAGAGAATTTAATCAATGATGACAGCGCTTGATGAAATCAAACAGGTCTGAGCCAGCGGAGACAAGAGCTGTGCAGGTGGAGCAGGGACTGAGGACTGAGGGAAAACAAGGGGGGGGTAAGAGGCAATAATGACTGAGGACCGGGGACCGGGAAACATGGGGAGAATTCCTGAGAACCTGAAAACAAGCAAACAAGCCAGGATTAGAGACTCAATGTCAACTATTCCTTAGGGCTTAAATACCGCGCGAGGTTCCTTTATTGGCCTGATAGGTGCGGCCTGATCTCGTTGAGGATGGCCCAGATGAGTCCACAACATGTGTGGAATGCGGATTTGTAATTGGAGGATCTAACGCGTCGGTGCTGGAGCTCGTCGGGGTGTAACAATGGTCTGATAAGACAAAGGTTGAACTTTTGGGCTATAATTCTAAAAGATATGTTTGACGCAATGACAACACAGCTCATCATCCAAAGACCACCATGCCTACTGTGAAGCATGGTGGGGGGCTGCTTCTCTTCAGCTGGGACAGGGGCTTTAGTCAAGATGGATGATATTTGGAGCTAGTCATTATCCCAAGATATTTGAGGCACAAAACCTGCTGGCCTCTGTCAGAACGATGAAGAGGAATTTAACCTTCCAACATAACGACCCAAGCACACATCCGAGTCAACCAATGAAATGGCTTCAGAAAAGGAAGATCAAAGTCTTGGAATGGCCCAGGCCTCAATCCCATAGAAAACCTGTGGAATGACCTAAAGAGGGCTGTGCACAGGAGATCCCCTGGCAATTGAAAGGAGTTTGAACTCTTTTGAGTGGGATAAAATTGCAAAGTTGATGGAGACTTATTCACAAAGACTTACTGCTATAATAAATACAAAAGGATCTTCCACAAAGTATAAGTTGGGGGGGTGCACACTTGTACAACCAGCGTGTTGTAGGTTTTTTTAGCATTTCAATTATTTTTCTTTAATTATCTATTGGTTTTTCTCTTTAATTTTGTTAGTTGCAAGGTCACAAATTTTCTGACATGATTTATCTTGATTTCTGGCTTTACATCACAAAAACCTGCAATTTCAATAAGGGTGTTTAGACTCTTTATAGCCAATGTATATTACAACACTGATATAGTAATGCCTTTCTTGGAAATTACAAATCTAAATAGAGACAGATAAAGGGTTACACCCAAAGAAAAGACGTCTATGTCATTACACAAGCTAAATACAAAATAGTGTCTCAGTCACTTGGTGAGCTGCTCCATTCCATATACTGTAATTTCCAAATGCACAGTCTTTTACAACAGCTGTCTACATAGTTTGGGAACAATTAAGAAAGATGGATAAGAAAATAATGTATGACCATAAGGAACTGAAGCTTCACTTTTTTGCTACTTTTTTGCCACCAATCTCTTCCCAACCAAAAAAATCTCATTGTGTTTTTGTGTTTTTTTTTAAAAAAAGATTTTAAAAACCTCGACCCAAACTGCACCATACCTTCACTGTCCTGGAATAACATCTTATCTTCTAACCCATAAATGACACAATGGTACTTTTAATAGCTTCTATCTAAGCACCTGTTTTTCCCAAAAGCTGATGTGGACATGGTCAGGCAGTTTATTGATTAGTTTATTCTGACTTTTATCCAAAGTGGCTATAGAGATCTATAATGTGTTTCTTACATATAAAGTATATAATGTAACCACAATCCAGTCGGATTCAACAGTCTCCATGAAACCTACCCAGGCCGTGTGCGATTCCCCATGTTCCTCGGTCCTAAGCAGTATGCTTAACTTATGTTGGCTCATTTAAATGCGGGGAAGCCATGAAATGTCACAATACCACTCACCATTTGTTTTTACACAATGGCAAAAACAAAATGGCGTCACAGAAAAATGTCATTATAGCAACACATCAGTAATCGAGTAGATGCATCATTTGAGATTGCATCATATGTCATTTGGATGAAAAGCCAAGGCTGGCAAAATGCGAGAAAGCATGTGAGCACTTTTGTTCACTCACTGGAAATTACGAGTTAAAAAATTGAGGTCTTAGACCTTGCCAAAAATAAATTTTGCTCCACATAAAGTGGTAAAAAGAGGAAGCAGAAGTTTGTACTGCGACATGAAATAAGATTAAAACCTCTAAAAATAATAATACAAGTCATTTATCTCTCTGCAGCAGACGCATAAAATGCGCGTCTTCTGGCCCGAAGCAAGAGGCAGAAGAAACCCTGCTCCTCTGTTGCTCTCATCATTTCTCGAATCATTGCCACATAACAGCTCATGAGTGTCCTGCACCTAAGGGCGATTCAGGCGATAAAAGGCTCTTAGGAGCAGGACAAAGAGGAAGTGTGCCGAGGCCGTTGTCACCAGGCAGGGACGTAGCTCTGAAGAAATCCATTACTTCACCAACATGTTGTCCAAATGACTTTACTCAACTAGTGGACCGTTGAATCATGTGATGCACACTACGAGCTCTGTATTTTGGCAAATGCAACATTTGAAAATCTTTTCAGTATGCAGGCAGCATGGTGGCGCAGTGGTCAGCATTGTTGCAGTGCTGGGGTCCCTGGGTTCAATCCCAGACTCAAGGTGCTATCTGCATGAAGTTTGTAAGTTTTTACTGTGATCGTGTGAGTTTCTTCCCACAGCCCAAAAACCTAGTAGTAGGTTGACTTATGGCAGAACTGGCCCTGGTGTGAATGTGTGTCCTGTGATGGACTGGTGTCTTGCCCAGGGTATACCCGGCCTTACGCCTGTTGCTTGCTGGGACAGGCACTGGGTCCCCCATGAACTTATATTGGAGGAAGGGGAGAGCGGATGAATTTTCATCATAAAATTATGCTTAATAATTAACTATTCTTATTATGGTATAAGGCTTATTATGGTATACTACTGTTTGTCTTTAACACAACATCAAAATTGACAGTATTTCTCGGCACTGCTTGATAATAGCCGAGTTTCTGGTGTACAAAAGCACAGGCAGTGGGTGGTCTAGGCAGTAAAAGTGAGCGGAAGGGTCATTAACCCGATACATGAGAATAAGCTGGTAAACCTTCAAATCATCCTCAGCTAGCATCTCGTTTTGTGGAAATAAACAAGACTTTCTCATTTATCTTGCTGGTGGTAACACGTTTAGAACCGTTAAATAGCTGGGTTGGAGTGTGGGGTGTAATTCACACGTCTGCACTTACGAGACATAGCTCAATGGGGAAACTGCTGCATTAAAACAAGCAAGTAAAGGGTAGAGCCGCCATAAGGCAAATAAGATGTCTGAAAGAGGCATTCCCTGGCAAATTTCTGAAAAGCTGGGTGTTCTTTACTTCACTGCACCATATACCACCCTGACATTAAGAGACTTCCATTTAATGACTAGCTAGGCAGATCTGATGAGTCACACACCGTTTAATGAGCGCACTGTACATTTCACAAGTAATCCACTGTTTGCTCTGCAATGTCTGAATTAAAACTCATGCTAAAAGTGTTAGTCTGGTAAATAAATGTTCCAAGTAAGCACACTGGCAAAATAAGAGAAGACATGCATTTATATATTACCTGCTGCTGCTCTGCATTCCTAGCAGTGTACTTTACTGTTGCAGAGTCCTATCATTTAGGACAGGCAGAACACAAACAGCATTACGGGACGTTAGTTGCTTACCCACAATTTTCTGAAGGTATTAATAGATGTCAGTAGTTTCAAGGTGTTCTTTTCTAGTGTCTAAAGGGCTTTTTGATACCCCACTCAATTTCATATTTCAATATTAATCCATTTATGTTTAATATACTTATGCCCCTTGCAATCTGCTGTACGATCAGAACAAAATTCTTAAATCTAACATTTCATGCCATCTAGTGGACAAATGTTTATCAACAAGTGAATATTCCTTCTGGCTGGAAATTCAGGAAAAAGTTTATTCTATATAAAATTCTAATTGTATATATATATTTATAATAATAATTATTATATATATATAATATTATAATAGTAAAATCCTTACACTTACATAGCATTTTTCTCGACACTCCACTCAAAGCCCTTTACAGGTAATGGGGACTCCCCTCCACCACCACCAATGTGCAGCATCCACCTGGATGATGCGACGGCAGCCATAGTGCGCCAGAACGCTCACCACACACCAGCTATCAGTGGGGAGAAGAGCAGAGTGATGAAGCCAATTCAGAGATGGGGATTATTAGACTATGGATGGTAAAGGCCAGAGGGCAAAACTGGCCACGACACCGGAGTAACACCCCCTACTCTTTTTGAGAAATGCCCTGGGTTTTAAGGACCATGGAGTTCAGGAGTCAGGAGTTCGATTTTAAATCTCATCCAAAGGATGGTGCCTTTTTTTATGAATATGGTGTCCCCAACACAAAAACCCTTCAAGACTAACTATATGCACTGATAAATAATTTAGAGCTTTTTTTGGTCTACACATTGAGTTCACTTTGTACAGACACAGTAGCTGTGCATTTTTACCGGCAAAAGCAATCCTTTCCTTAAACTTTTCCAAGCTGTTCCTGGCTTGAACTCTCTCAATATCTTTAGCTGATCTATGCTTTACAGTCTAAAGAAATAAAGAGTAGTTTAAGTAAGCTGATACAGTTTTATTTGAGGTTACTTTACAGCTTTAAATGAACACGACACTGAGAAGTGCTGAACAAATAAATAATGTCAGAAAGGACCATCCCAAAGGCAGGTAGTGACTAACAACGCCATGTAGCAGCTCATGCAGAGTACATTTGTGGTAAATTGTGATTAATAGTTGTTTAATAATGCAAACAAAGCTGCAAAATATACAGAACCAGACAGAGAAGTGACCCGTTCGTGAGAAACCCTCCCCTCATGTCTTCCCCCACATCAGCTATTTTTAAACCCAATCAAGAAAGACGTCACGGCATGGACTTCCTCCTATACTCTCAGAGTATGGTAAGGGCATGGTAAGTGCTGTAGAAGAATAACACCCGTGAGAGCACATATGGTAAGTCACCAAGCCAGTGGAAGACGGAAAGGGTACTGCTGGAAGAAAAACCTAAGAGCAGTATGCTCTTAATCTGCTAAATAGAGTAAAAAAAAAAACACACCAATTCACAAATCTTTTTTCCTTAGACATTTGTGCCAATGCTGCTCAGAAACCAAATCATTCTCATTTCCATTACTGGAGACACTCAATTACACACTTCAGCATTGCACTAATAAATATGGATTTCCCATTGTGCATTAACAGATTAGCAGAATTATTGAAAGAACGTAAGTACTGACAAAGCGGCCGCCTTAGTTTCCTACAGGTGTAAGAGATTAGGACACTGGTTGCCGTTATTGGGCACGTAAGAAAAACCCAATCCAAGGCTCTCCGTCGTGCTCTGACAGGCGCCGGTCGGCGAGTCAGTTTAAGGCAGCCTGCTTCGCTCTCAGCCGCTCAATCTTTATAGGGAGGAGGCCGGCCATCTCCTCGCTCAGCTCCAGCTCGGTCTCCACTGCCTTCTTGGCCTCGGTGTCCTGCTCGCAGTAGTCCACCACGAAGCGGTAACACTCCAAGGATTTGTCGAGGTTCTCCAGCTGGGTGGCGCCATCGGGACAGATGATTCTCCCGTACAGCCGGGCGACGCGGAACTTGGCCACGAGCGCGGGGCGGAGCACGTCGTCCTCCAGCTTCTCGGGGAACTTGCCGTCGGCCGTCCTGATGGAGTCCAGAAACATCTTGTAGTACTTGATGGAGGCCGCGCAGAGGTGGTTGAACTTCTTGACGGTGTGCGCGTCCAGCTCGTCCTGCTTGTCGGCCAGGGCCAGCTTGAGGTCCATCATCTCGTAGTAGGTCTCAGCCAGCTCGAACTGCAGCTGCCGGCAGATGAGGAGATAGTACTGGGCGTTCAGGTCCTTGCAGATGGGCTCCAGCATGTCGATGCGCCGTTTGTGCATCTTGCAGCGCCTCTCGTAGTCCTCCTCGAAGAAGGACAGGGCCTTGAAGAGAGCGCTGTGGTCTTGCACCACCTCGATGTGGTCCGTGACGTGGCCATCCATCTGGAAGTATTCCTTGGCCTCGGTCACGTAGTTCTGCCCCACCAGGAAGATGGCCCGGGCTTCCTCGAAATCCAGAGGGTAGGCGCAACTCACCTTCTCCTCCAGGGCCAAAATGGAATCGAAGATGTCCCTGGAGCCAAACAAGATGGCGCTCTTCAGGCCTTTCTCCTCCTCCTCGTCCTCCTGCCGGCGGCGCGCTTTCAGTTCCGCCTGACGCTCCACATCCAGCTCGCCAATATTATCCTGCAGTAAACCCACCAGAAGAGGGAAGTTCATTTAAAAAAAACTTCTCCTATAAGTGACGGGAAAGCACTGCAAACTCATCTTTTGTTACAGTTCCGATTTTGTTCCCTATTGCTTCTAAAATAAGTGGATCCTTCTTTCTACACCAAGGTCAGACAAACAATTGAGACCACAGGATTTGCAGGCAGTATATTCACTGCCAGGGAAAGAAAGTAAGTTTCACATGTGCCTGCCATCTGAAGGTACCCATACAGAATCTCCTGCAGAAGGAAACTAAAGGAACAGGCACACAGCTTGCGAGTGCAATAATACAAAGTAATGGAAAACCACAGATGGTGTTTAACAAAAAGGCAACCAAAAGTGGACAGAAATGTACACTCAACAATTAAAAAAAATAAAGCTCTACCTCTAGGAGTTTTTTGGCATCCTGCAGAAGATTCAAGCAGTATTTTATCCAGCACCGGGCTATTTCCGCTCTCTTCTGACGAAGCTGCTCCCTCTTTTCACCCTCTGCCTCGTCTACACCAAGAAAGACATGGTACACCTTGGTAAATGTACTATTTGGTAAATGTACTACTAACTCCAACGTCTTAGATTTCAATCAACAGAATGTGAAAACTTGCTCTGTCTCCAACACAAAGCAAAGGTTCCTTTATGCCTCCCCATCTTTCCCCGTTTCTCATTTTTACTTTGAAACAATTCCGCAGATGTCTGGCTCATGAATACAATCCCATTCACTTTCACAACTTCAGTTCCTCCCTACCGGCCATGAGGACAAACCCCCAGTGCCCCGGGGTGACACTTACTCTCCTGCGCTGCTGCTTCTGACGGCACCTCGCCTGCCAGGCCTGCAACCACAACAGCCGCAGCTAAGCAGTGCCTTCCCTCCATATAACGAGACTAACGGAGAGAAAGAAGAAAGAAAATTAGTTCTTTCAGTTGGGGTTAAGGGCCTTGCTCAGGGGCCCAACGGAGTAGGATTCCTCTGCCGGCCGCAGGATTTGAACTGGCAACCTTCCAGCCACAGGCCCAGATCCTTAGCCACAGTGCCACCTCACCGCCTGTTCACATTGTTCCGCTGAAGTCTACTATGTGACTTTGAAACAGCCACAGTGATGCTGCAAGAGAAGTAGGTCTTATGTTGATGATATCAGACCACTGCCTGCAGAGCCCACTGGGATTAACTACATAAACCGTAGGAGTGTGTGCAACACCCCAGTCATGTTTAGAGGGGGTCTATTAAGGACAATAATAGAAATTAATGGAAACCAGCCAGTTCTCAGAAATTTAAGATTTAAGGCAATCTACTTTATTATACTTTAAATTTTGAAAAAAAAAAAGACAGTATAAGAAGGAGAATTGTATTTGCTGATGGGTAGAAAAGTAAGTCAAGAAATACTCCAACTTTTCTGACCAGAGAACACTGATCTAAAAAAAAAAGACCACACTGAGTTTAAAACAAAACTGGCAAAGTTACTGTATAATTCTAACCAAAGTTACAGAGCAACCGTGAACCTCAGGGACAAAGCTGGAGTAAGGCTGAGCATCACATCTGCAATAAACAACACTTTCTGCAACACTCTGGACTAGCACGTACGAGTCAAAGCTTCAGTCCCACTGCATTGCGTGTCTTGGGCAGAAAGCACCAGCCTGCCCTGAGCTGACTCTTACCTTAGTAATGTAATACTGGGACAATGTTGCAGCATTGATGGCCCATTCTAGAGGAACAAAGTGGTTAAACTCCAGCTGCCTCTGAAGAGTGGTGTGGCAGTACCGGCCAGCTTTTTCGTACTGTTCCAGGTTCTTGTAGACTTGAGCCAAGTAATACAATGTGTAAGTGTGAGCCATTTCAAATCTGTCCAGCATAACAAAAGAGATGCATGTTTTAGTTTTATTTCCTTTGCATTTTGCGGACAAAGAAAAGGCTTTAGCAGTTGTCCCTAACATGTCCAAACACCACTACCAGTGGCAAAGCTTCTAGATTTACCTTGGGCACATGTTTACAGAAAGATAATGCTGTGACAAGATTAACTGCACAACAAGGCCAATATTATATAACGAGACTGACACAATCATGTCTGTCACATGATTTATAACTTACATTAAGAAACTACTTACCTTTCTAGTAAAATGTCAGTAATATAAGAAAACTCAGTTTAATGCTTACTTTTAATCCGAGTAACTACCTTTTTGTTCTTTCTTGGTCCAATACACTTTCCCCTTCTGTCACAAAGAAGTCACTGAGATCCATTGGGGGCTGTCCATCCTGTATGGAAAAAACAGGTCTTTCTAGCTTAAATCAGTTTAAAAGCAAGCATTCTGGCAGGGCCGCTGCTTTGAATTTGGAGAAGAAGGGGACTCCATGTTCACAAACAAAACCACTATTACTTGGAAGAGTTTCCTTATGACCATTTGATCCAAGGGATTTGTTCCTCTCATTTACAGTAAATCAGAGATTGTGCAACACGAACCTATTAACATCCTGTAGCTCTAAGGATCACTCTTGACCATTCTGAACTTAAACTGCGCATTGTACAGAATTAATTAAAGCTCACAAACTGATGATTTTGGCTGGCCTGTAATACACACTAGACTGTTTGCCCCTAGGACCAAGGTTGGCTACCCCTGAGGTGTACGACATCACCATACTGTATATTTCTAGGAAATTATTCAACAACCCTAAAAATACCTGACAGATCAATATCACAATACTTAATATCTCAGGAACGATGTTTCTGCATGAATGAAAAGTCTGTAATAATATGTCAAGTATAAATGCACGCAGGCAATCGCTTCCTGTTCAGAGCAACTATACGCCTTCTAATGTAAACGAACATGTACCGGCTTGATTAAGGTAGTGTAACGTTGTCTGATTCGCAAGGCAGTAAACTGTAATCACAAACCACAGGAATACATAACTAACTTACCTGTTTCATGTACTGAATGTACAGAGACTCTGCAGTTTCCAGAAAACCCTGCGCCTTCTCAGTTTCATCTCGTCCAGCCCACAGAATACCCAACTGATTCTACAGAAAGAATGAAGACATTTTCCTCTCAGCCACCTGTCTTAAATCCACTCCTTTATTCACTTCCAAATCAACGAAATGAAGTGTCGCATTGGACCATTCGTTTCCTCTACAAAATGTATACAGTTCCCTAAAAGATAGAAATTTAACATGAAGGATTACCTGTCAATTACCGTTAATGTTTTATTAACATTATACATTTCTCTTAGATTTGGGGACAGAAATATATGACATCAGATACTACAAAACCGGTTGCTACAGGCTAAAAGCGTTATAGTTTTGCCTTAGAATAACTGTCGGTTGTATAAAAATAAAATGTAATTAAAATAACGTGTGCATAAAAAAGGTATCGTTAACCTAATGAGATATTTCAGGTGGGTAGCTGCGTCAGCATGCGTAGTCTGCAAAGGAAAAAGTAATAGGTTTATTCCATGCTGAAAAAAAGAAGAAAAAACACAACGTTTCGGCCGTGGAGCCTTCTCACACCTGAAGAAGGCTCCACGGCCGAAACGTTGTTTTCTTTCTTCTTTTTCTCAGCATGGAATAAACCTATTACTTTTTCTAATGTGATATGGTGTGCAGTTTTTTCACAATGGAACGTGGCAACAATACAATACCCTGGTCTGTATGTTTATAGAGATGTTTTCCCGTGACATGCTGTATTTATCCAGCAGTTTGAGGCAGTTCATCAGATGTTCCTCTCCAGCGGAAAGTTCTTCAGTCTCCACATGGTTTACCCCTAGAAGGTGCTCGATCACTCCGAGTTTTGCTGCCCTGAGGGCGGCTGGCGAGCCCCCGACACAACCGCTCCCACATCCCTCTGAGTCTGAACCCTCAAGAATCTGATCCTTCTGGGGCTGGTCGCTTTCCCCGTCATCCTCCCCGATATACTGGTTCCTCAGGGTACAGATGATCTCCTTCAGAAGCTCCCTGGCTTTGTACTTGGAGCGAAAAGGGTCAGTCTCCGGGTCCTTCCTGGATTCTACCTCAGAAAGAGTAACGACGCGGCTGTATTTTTCACATAGGGAGCTCAACTCTGATGTTGCAGAAGCAGCCATCTTACCAGAGCAAGCGCACTTTGAAAAGCTCTCAACTCTCTACACTCCCCTTTCCCCTGCGGCGCAAACAAGTGACATCATTAAACGGCGCCGATGAAATCCTTACACATTCTGCCCAGCCCAGAGCCCAGAGTTATACGGGGGCGGGGCGGTGTGGAGCTGTTGAACATCATGAGCTGGCATCGAGTTTGTTAAAATATATAATATTTCTATTACTTTTTATCAATATTTCGCTGTAATTACCGCGATTCCTAGGAAAATATTGACTTTTTAAAGGAGTTGCAATAGTAGTCCAAAATTCAGCAGCCAGAATCCTGACCAGGTCTAGTGCAAGTGTTCACATTACTCCTATCCTGGAGCTCTTGCACTGGCTTCCGGTCAAATTCCGCGTAGACTTTAAAATCCTCATGCTCACCTATAAGGCTTTACATGGCTTGGCACCTCAATACTTGTCTGAACTATTATCGCCCTACTCCCCACCTCGCAACCTCCGCTCTTCAAATTCTGCCCTCCTTACTGTCCCCCAAGCCCGTCTACATTGTATGGGCGACAGGGCCTTCTCCTGCTATGCCCCCAAGCTCTGGAACTCTTTGTCAAAGGATATTAGAGAGTCACCTTTTCTAAACTCCTTCAAATCCAGACTCAAAACCTTCTTCTTCAGAAAAGCCTTAACTTAACTGGTTCCATTCTTCACCCCTCTGCTCTTCTTAGTACCACCTTCCACAGTCTCCTCTATTTTTATTGTTGTATTGTTGTAATTGTAATTGTGTCTTATCTTGTGAAATCTTATTTATTGTTGCAGTCTTCTTATTTATTGTTATTGTCATCCTGTAAAGCGCTTTGAGAAGCCACTTTTAAAGGCGCTATATAAAATCAAGTTTATTATTATATTATTAGAGACGCTGGAAGAATTTACAGGTCGCATCAGACTACAAAAGGAAAAGACATTTTGAGTTGTGGATGTAATAACATTTTTAAGATCTCTGTTGCAAAATGATAATATCCTCGCTGTTACATTATATTGGAATTCCTCATTTTGAAAATGGGTTGATTGGAAAAAAATGTGGATGATGCCCAATAAATCTTAAATAACTAATAAGATTAAGGAGGTTTCATACAAAATAATTAATTGAATTTACCCAGCTAAGACCCTTGTTGTCCAGAGATTTAAAATTAATACAGACGATAAATTTGTTTTTTTGTGACAGTAGCCCTGAAACTGTTCATCATTTATTTAAATTATGTCCCATGGTTGAGATCTGACTCATACAGTATATTACCTCTTTCAGTTTAATACCACCCAGCTGATATTTGTATTTCACACTCGCTGTTACATATTTTGTGCGTATCCGCATTTCATGTCATGTGTCGGGCCAGTTCCGGGTTTTGCCTACATCTCCTACTGTGCTCCTACTGTTACATTATCTTCATTATTACGGCTACTGACTCTACTAGAGTCTGAATCTTTGATAGACGTTAAGAACAGCATCGCTGCTGGAAATAAACTCTATAGTACCCAGCAATGACTTCACTATAGTCTCTGCTACCCCCTCTTATCATATCCTTGATGAGTTTAGCAACTACACACCGTGTTCAATTAAACTAGGATGAAATCTTTGATTAATGCAATTTGGTGGCATTATAACCAGAACATTAGCCATTAGGCTTCATATTCCAATAAATACCACTAGGGGGAGAAGTACAAAACATTATCTTGAGAATTTACAATGTGAAGGCAGTTTTGTTACTATATTTGTTACAGTGTTACTATACATTATAAGTAATTAAGTGGAAAATTAATTTACCTTTTGCCATATTTTCCAGAAAAAAA